ATGCCTACTGTAGGATTTTAACATCCTCTTTGTGGTTGGGTTGAGCTATATAAATAAGTCTGACCAATGAGTCAAAAGTGAAATATTGTGTGTCATTTCTGGGATGAAACACTGAATTCCTGATCTGAGATGTTCTCTAACACAACTGGCTGTGTTCCAGACAACGGTGCTTTCATCAGCCCCCTCAGCTGACTCTGATGTAACAGGAATGAAAAACAAACTTGTTTTAAGATGCTGAGGAAAGGGATCAAGGCAGGGGAAGAAGGGAGAGAAGGGGGGGTAGCACTGGAGATTGAAATAGAGAAAACTATATTATATGCATTTGTGTATGTGTCTAAATGAACCCCACAAATATATAACTATAATGCACTAAAAAATAAGATAAGAAATTTTGAGAAGATGCTGAGACTAGGAAGTTGTTTGTTACCTTAACATAATCCAGCTATCCTGACACAGCCTGATTCACCAGTGAATAGAGCAGGTACTGGGCTGTGCATATGCTTGTTGCTTAGATGAAATAAAGTGAAGTTGTATTAATATTTCTTACTTACATTATCTTTGACTTGCTTTCATAAGACTCTCTCTTGGAGCTAATTGGGTTTTTGTTTGTTTGGTTTTTGTTTATTTAATAATAAAGAAAAGGCAAGGGCTGGGGATGTGGCTCATGTGGCAGCGTGCTCGCTTGGCATGCGTGCAGCCCGGGTTCGATCCTCAGCACCACATACAAACAAAGATGTTGTGTCCGCCGAAAACTAAAAAAAATAAATCTTAAAAAATTTTTAAAAAGGCAAGATCTTTAAAATGTTCATGAATTCTGCCCCACCTATCTGCAATACACTAGTATTCAGAACATCTCAACATGCACCAACATATTCTTTTCTAATACCTATCTTTATCCCTAAGTGTAAGATGGGAAAACCCATAAGGACTTAACTCTAGTTTATAATGCTTCATTTCTTGATTTCTGTCAGTAAAATTAGCTGTCTTGAATTTTGCTTCAAATGACAACCAGTGAAATTCCCAATTCCGACTTCAAAAAGCGAGACTATAATTCACAGAAGTACAATCAGAAGCAAATGAAAATGTTCCCTCTCCCTTTCTTTTTTCCATATTCTTTTTTTATTTAATATTTTTTAGTTGTAGTTAGTCACAACACTTTTATTTTATTTAATTTTATGTGGTGCTGAGGATCGAACCCAGTGCCTCACGTGTGCTAGACAAGCACTCTGCCGCTGAGCCACAACCCCAGTCTCTCTCTCCCTTTCAGTGAGAAGGAGAGAAAATATTTTACATCATAAATCAACTTTTAAAGATCTGATCTGAAGCTCTGGGCATGGTGGCACATGCCTGTAATCGCAGCAACTTGGGAGTCTGAGGCAAGAGTACTGCAAGTTCAAGGCCAGCCTCAGCAATTTAGCAATACCCTCAGCAACTTAGTGAGACATTGTCTCAAAAAAAATTAAAAGATCTGGGGATGTAGCTCTGTGGTAAAGCACAATCCCCAGTACAAAAATAAATCTGATTTGATAAGGTTTTAAACTGGAATCACAGGAATATCAAGCTTGCTCTCCTGTACCAAATAGCACCATGTATGTATTTTTTTTTCTGTAACTAATTTGTGTACTATGTTAAAATAAATGTGTCTCAAAGTATTATTTGACCAAAGAGGTCTTACAAGACTCCAAAGACTATAAATTGTTGCTGTGGCATATAAAACTGTTTCAGGTTGGATTCTCTGGAAGTAGATGCTAAAACAGTTTGGAGTGCGAGGAATTTACAAGGGGTGAACACCTGTGAAAGAGGAAGAGTAGGAAGTAGGGCTAGCAGGGAGAATCAGCCTGCAGAGTGCCCAGTGGAACTGGCAAAGAACTTAAGGACTATTGCCCACAGGCCTGTGCTGCTTTGTTGAGGCAGGAGATACAGGCTGCTCCACAAAGGGTGGGATTCGCAGGGAGGAAGCTGAGGCAGACCCTGAAGGTGCTAACTAACAGCTGTAGGCTGTCTGCTGAGGCCGTCACCAAGTTCTTTCTTGGAAGGGTTTGGGCAGTACATCTCTACATCTACCACTGGGCGCTCCTGTGCCATCTGGATCCACTTCTCCATAAATATTTGGAAAGATCCTCTTTCAGAATTCTTCTGGGATTTTCTTCCTGATGGAAAATGGGTTGGTGGGACAAACTACAGCACCTGCTGTGGCACTTGGATTTCAGGGTCACAATAGCTACTCATTGCCTCAGAGGCTAACCTGGTATCACAATCCAGATCCCAAAGGGCCTGAGTGCCTGGTCACTACGCTCTTCTAAGTCTGTATTTGCTGCACCTGTCTACTTAAAGTCACCAATGGGAAAGGGAATAATATGAGGCACCAAGTAGATCACTTTGGTTCCATTCATATTTCTATCTCCATTGTAAGTAGCAGCCCATCTCCTGTTGATCAGGATCAGTCATTCCTATTAAGACAGTGACTACTCTTCTTGCCTGCTGGTTCATAGACAAAAGAAACCCAAAGAACCCAGGCATCAGCTAAGGGTTATAATTCCACTGGACTCAGGCTGTGTCATGCCCCCATAGGGGACTAGAATCCCTAACCCCGCTGGTCAGGAGTTGTAAGGATAGGGAGCATACAAGTCCCTCAGTGGGTCATTAGGAGTGACAGTAAATGGAAATACCATCTACTGCTTGGCTCTTGGACTCACAGTCTTCCTGCTAGAGACACAGTGCACATATGGCATTGTGGAGGACGGTCCCTTAACTGTACCTTCCAGCTGTGCCTTGAGCAGGTCACCCCAGCTCCCTACTAGGCCCAGATTTCTGGGTGGTACAGGCTGGAATGGGCATAAGGGCCCAGTATGGGGGACTCTAAGAACCTAGTCCTGATATAGCTAAAATCCAGAAATAAGGGGGTAGACAGGAAAGCAAATTTTTCAATTAAGAAATTGGTTTAACCAAATAAGTCATTTAAGTAGTAAATTATCACAAGAAACAAATGTGACAAAGAAGTGTGGAAAAATTTGGACAGCAAACACAAAAGAGAGTGGGAAAGAGAGAGCACGTTATGCTTTGGTAATAACTGGCCTTGTTCCAGCGCCCCCCACCCCCCGCCCTCCAGGCCACAGTGCTCTGTCTGTATTCCTGTTTGGCCCGTCCCCATTCCAACTTATGCCCCTGGGGAGTACTTTCCCAAAATTTTATCCACTCTCTGGGGGTAGACAGAGGTCTCCCTTCTGGGTGTGAATCTCTTCTGCTTCAGTTCTCAGTTCCTCAGGAAGGAGTTTCCTGCAGAGTGTTCCTTGGCCAGCCCTTGGTTCTCTTTCCTAAGGGGCTCATCCCCTACAGTTCTAACTCCCCTGCTTTCCCCGGCCATAGGCCAACTATTATGTGCAGTCAGCAAACTCCTGCCATGACATGCAACCCTTTCTTTTGAACACGTTGGAATTGCTGTGCTTCTATTGAGGTGATAATTATTATATTTTTGAAGGTTAAAGGGAAGAATATTCTTTTTGTCTACAGATGCGGAAAGCAGTTGGCCACGGTGATGTTCATCGACTTCAAGTACCAACTTGCTTGGGAATTGTGATGGTTAGCATCTGGACTGTCCCCCATAGGCTCATATGTTGAAGGCTTGGTCCCCAGTGTAGCAATATGCAGAGGTGGGACTTTTAGGAAATGATTGGTTCATGAGGGCTTTAACCTCAACCAGTAGATTAATCCACTGACGGATTAATAATTTGAATGGATCTTTGGGAAGTGGTGGAAACTGCAGGAGGCGGGACTTGGTTAAAAGGAGTGGATCCTGGGGATTGTGACATGGGGGCCTATATCTTGTCTCCGGCCCCTCCCTGCTGCCTCTCTCTTTACTGCCCATCTCCCACGAGGTGAGCAGCTCTCCTCAGCCACACCCTCCCCCTCAGCACAGGCCCACAGCTACGGAGTGGAGCCGGCTGACTGTGGACTCCTGAAACCATGAGCCCCAGTGGATCTTTCCTCGTCTAACTTGTCCCAGTGACAGAGTTAACACAGGGAGGGTCCCCGGTGGCTGGTGCTGAGGTGAATCCCACCACGTGGGGCCAAGATGGAGACTCGGTAGGGACGAGCCTCATCTGTCATATAAGCCATGTTCTGTAGAAACCAAATGATCTAGAGTCACATTTCTATGCCAGTTACCCTTCCCCCACACCTTCCTTCTATAAAGTCCTATTCCCATATTTCTGTTTTTATGTCAGCTATGTCGTAGAGTAGTGAGAAATATCTTGTTCCCAAACTTTAGTCCAGGTGGAAGAGCAGCATATTTTTAGTGATCATTCAGAAAGTCAGAAGGGGAAATCAAATCTCTGGTAGCAAGGGCCAGTACCTTATGATATCACTGCTTTCCCCTATTTGAAACTTCTCCTTGCTTGGAGATCTGGGTTTACATTCTGCCTTCCTATAAGGCAGGAGACAGGAATGGATAGGCAGGACTTCTGGTGTCTCTGGATTTAAAGAGATTACAAGAAACTTCCAAATGAATAACATGCCCATTTCTCGTCATGAATATCTCTTTCATGTTCACCTCTTCTATCTCTTTGGCATGACTGGAAACATTCTCTGTTGGCTAACCAAAAGAAAAAGCCAAGAAGCAACTATCCTAACCCACAGGGGTGAGCTTTCTCACTCCCTCAGCTCCTCAGAGGTCATTTGTAAGTTCTATTTCCTTCCTTTTAGTCTACACAATTTCCTGGCCTTCCTGAAATCCCCTCACCCATCTCTGAATATCTCTTCCTATCTCCCTCTTTCTCTCATTCTATCTTCTTCTCTGTCTTTAATCTCTTGCACATATGCACAACCTCACCGTTTTATCTTGTTCTCAGAAGTATACTATTTTTCAAACTACCTCACAGGATAACCAGATTGGACTTAACCTCCAAATTTTTAAACCTCCAAATTTTTAAAGATTTCTTTGGAGTAGATCTCAATTCAAATCATCTCTGATTACCAAAATTCCAAATATGTCTCAATTGAAGTCAGCTCATGTATTTTCTTTATTTAACAGTTATGTGCCATGGGACCCACATAGTGCACTTCAACTTTTGGGAGTTTGTGCCTCAGTGCTCCCATAGAGAGGAAGGGACAGTGGCAGTCCAGATCTATGGCCGCCCCTGAGTTGCCACTGTCCTCCTTCCTAGGGATTCTTCTGTTGTGCTTTTTCTTGAGGCTGTTCTTGTTGTTCCAGACAATTCACCTCTTCTTCTAAATATCTATCTTTTTGAAGGTGGAAAGTTACTTTCTTCCCAGAATCTGAAGCCAAAGAAACTTCTAAATTCCATTTTTTTCTTTCTTTGCAGTTCTTTATGTATCATCACACAGAGAACAGTGTTCACCAAAAATATTATTCCCACTGATAGATAGAAAAGGATGTTAAACCAGACAGGAGTTGGCAACTGGAGGCCTGAAACAGAGAGAGAAAAGATACTGTCAGAAGCCAGAGGGGTCTGACTGACTTATGTGTGGAAGAAAAAAATGAGTGAGGCTGGAGCACCTACCCCCAGTGGAGGTGCTGATGAGTTCAGGGGACAGGAAGGGACTGGAGGAACCCTGCTGGTGGTCTTACGTTAGATTCAGACATAACTGCTATCTCTATGCCATTTAATGCTTGAAGATTAACTTTTCCCTTGAAGAGTCTTTGTTCCCAAGCTCACAATCCTTACACCTCAATTAAATCAGCACTTGAGCAGGTAGTTTTGTGCTCATAAATCGACCATGAAAATTATTTGATTCAAAAACTATACCCCCAGCTGGGCATGGTGGCACATGCCTGTAATCACAGCAATTCAGGTGGGCTCAGGAAGGAGGATCTCATGTTTGGGAATGGGCTGAGGGTGTAGCTCAGTGGTAGAGCACCCCCAGTTCAATCCACAAAAATAAAACTTAAAAACCACACCTCGTGTGTTCATATCCCCAGACGGAGGGCAGTAAATAGGAGGAACTCAATATATTGTTGATGAGGGGGAGAGAAGGGAAGGGCAGAAAAGGGAAGGAAGGAGGTGGAGTGAGAGGGGAGGAAGGACAATAGAAAATGAAGAAGGGGAAGAAAAGGAAGAATGATGAAGGAAAGAAAAAAAGAAAGAAAAATTCATGAAATTTGTGATGAGAATAGTGAGTTCTGAATGAGGAATGGAAAGGCCTGTCTGTAGGCTTTTCCTAAAGAGATTTCCTCCTCCTGGCTGGGCCACAAAACCCTCGAACAAGCCTCAACCCCACAAGAGAAAAGGGAGCCCCTTCTCCCTTGTCAGCAGCGGCCCATCTTCTCTCTCACCCAGCACTTGAAGCTCCAAGGCAGGGCTGCGCTTCAGTACGTTCCCATCTTCTGTGACTGCCTCACACCAGTAGGAACCAGAGTCCTCTCTTCTAGCAGTTAAAATCTGGTACTCGGAGGATGCATTTCTGTCCACGAGGGTCTTGCTGCCCACGTAGAAGGAGTAGTACAGCTGCAAGCCAGCCCTCTCTGGGAGCAGCGTGGTTTCACAGCTCAGGGTGACCAGGTTCCCCTCCAGGAGGGGGAGTGACAAGGATGCTCTCAGCACAGGAACTGAAAATAGCTCTAAAGAGAACGTGATGGGGACAGGTTGTAGCTCAGTGGTAGAGCACCCCCAGGTTAAGGTTCTTTTCACAAAAGACATACCCTCCCAACCCCTTGGGAAACTTGCCCCAAGAGAATGCATCCATAAGGCATATTTTTTCCCATTTGTAACAGAGACGCATTCTTGGGTTTTTCTAATATACATAATCACAGTTGCCAGCTTGCTCCCGTCCTGTTGATAATACTCTACACAGTTCATGCTTCCCTGAATGGCCATTTGTTTATAATATAACCATACCTTTGGCACAGTCTACCCAGGGAGTTTAATGAATCACACTTGTGTCCCTGACTCAAAAGAAAATCTGGGTCAGTAAAATTTCTTTCCTACAGGAAGGGACTTTTTTTTTCAGACAGAAAAAAAGTTGCTACTGATTGTGAATACTAAGAAAAAAGACCATGGAAGAATGAGAATAAGGGCCATGTGGAAACTAGAACACGGGAAGCTGTTTCATGTACAGATGCTTAGAAAGAAGTGGGACAGAAGGGCCACAATGTCCCTGAGACAGATGGAAGGCTGACCGATTCCTAATGTTTTCCTTTCATGATATTCCTGATGTATTCATGAAATTCCATTGGATTATTTTCTAATAACTTCCTTAGCCACCTTGAGTGAATCTCTATTCTTTGTGACTAAAACAAAATTAATGAAATGAATCTTTCCTATGCCCTGACTTTGACATTAACTCCTGCAGTTATTGACAGGGCACTGTGATATATTGGAAAGAGCAATGGACTGGGACCTAGAGACCTCAGTTCTGGTCCTAATCAAGCTACTGGTCATTGGTGGCCTTCAGTGATGCAATTTGCCACTCTAGAACTCAGTTTCTTCACTTAAAAATTTAAGTGAGATTTTTAGATGATTTTCATTGTCTCTCTGGTCCTTACAACTATAGTTCTAGAACTGTTCAGGTACAGTACCTTTCACAGTGACGGTTACTCCCCCTGATGTGTAGTGATGTCTTCCCATGCCTGAGCAGTGATAGACGCCATTGTGACTTGTGTTGGTTTTCTGAATGGTAAGTTCAGAATTCGGAGGAGAAAACTGAAAAGCTTTGCCATTTTGGTAGAAAAGCACATTGTACACCAGCTTATTCTTCCATGCATGACACCTCAAAGTCAGAGGTTCTCCTTCAGTGAAGACTCTGCTAGAGATCTGGAGTAGCAGCCAATCTGAAAAATGTGGACCCCAAATGTATGCATATAGTGAAGGAGGTACAAGAAGGCCAAATCTTCACCCTGGGGACCTATCATTTTCTCCTTGCAACATTCCAAATTCAGAACTCGGCTAAATCTGAGGCCTGTGTCTCATTCCTCAAATATCTTTCGCTTTGGTAGAAAGAAAGGTAATCTTTACCAGAAGCTGTGCACAAAGCCCTTTCTTATCTTCCCTTTCCAGATCTGAGAAATTGATTGAGTCAAGAATTCTAAGATGTCACCAGTGAGTCACAACTCTGCACCTTTATTTTTTTCCTTCCCCAGGGACAATTGGTTTGGCTCAATAAAGATGAAATCCTTGGGGTAAAAGGAGGAGAGACAATATAATTTTCCACCCTCCAGAACTTAGATCTAAGAATAGAAGGCAAGTGTTCCAATGCTGTATGTAGCATGACAATAATTCATGATAATTATATCCAATAACACTCATGGATCCCATACTGTTTCTAAATATATCAGACTCTTCCTGTCTTTATTTTCATTCCCAACCAAGACATGCTAAATGACTGCACTACTCAAACACACATCTTTGCTTTACATATGCAAAGCACAGTGGGAGATTTTGACACACCTCCATCAGAAACTGCCAAAACACTAGTGATATTAGAGAATGCTTGAATGACACAATTAACAGATTTGATTTTGTGGACTGCTGCACCACAGAAAAGAGAAGATTCATATACTTTTCAAACATACATGCAACAGTTAAAAAATTGAGCATGTGCTAAGCGACAAAGCAATTTTCAACAAATACCAAGAAACTGATCCTATATTTTACACAAAATCTGACTAAAATGTTATACAGTTAGTAACCAATAAAGCCACTCTCCAAAATCTTGTAAATAATTTAGAAGTAACAAAAAAGAAAGAAATCACAATAGAAATTTTAAAATTCTAACTTATGACACTGAGAATATTTCATCAAAAATTTGTGGGATGCAGCTTTTAGCAGACATATTCTACTAATTTTCCCACTCAAACACTATTCCTCCACGTTCATGACCTTGAAGTAGAAAGAGGACATTCATTCCAAGCCACATGGGTAGGCCTGGGTCCACCAATCAGCTGTATTTCTTGGTCTCAGTGTCCACAGATTTAACTGAAGTGACTGACCATCAATGTAACTGTAACTGAATCCCCCACTGTTGAATAATTGTGGAAAAAAGTGTTTTTAAAAATAAGGCATAGGGAACAACAGCCCCCAAACTTGGTGTATTGTACTGTAATAAAATTAAGACCATTTGTTCATTAAACAAACAAAGGTAGTGAAAAGGCAAGCCACGGAGTGGTAGAAGATAATTGCAACACTTGACTCATAGCCATAACAAATAAAGAACTATATAAGTCGATAAGAAAAAGACAAAAGAAAAATTGGTGAAAAGACCTTATTAGATACTTTACAAAAGAGAATATCCAAATAGGTAATAAATATGTGAAAAAATAGTCAATAGCATAGTCATCAAGGAAATACAAATTAAAACCATAGTGTGATATTGTTATACCTCCACCAGGATGGCAAAAATGAAAAATACAGAAAACTCCTAATACTGATAAAGATGGAGAGGAACAAAACTTCTCATACTGTCAGAGTCAAAAATTGGTATTAGGACTCTGAAAACCTGTTTAGCAATATATCTACTAAAGTTGATTACGTACATATTTCGTGACTGGCAAGTACACTATTAGGCATTTTCCAACAGATACATATATCTATGTGCACAAAAAGACATGTAAAAAAATGTCCATAGCAGTACTATTGGTAAAAAGCCCAAGCTGGAAACAACTCAAGAATCTATCAGTAGAATAGAAAAATATAAATAAGTAATGAGAACTGTGAACTTCAACTTCACAACATGTGTAAATTTCACGATTTTAATGTTGACAAAAAGAAGCCAGACACAAAAGAGCATGACAGGTACCATACTGTAGCCATTTATGTGAAGTCGGTCTTGGGGAGTAGTGACTAGAAAAGGGCAAGAAGAAGTTTCTTGGTTCTGGAAATGTTCTGTTTCTTGCTCTGGGAGGCGTTTACATGGTGGCCATTCACTGAGATGTGCACTTAGGTCCTGTGCACCAACAGCAGCCCAGAGGGCCGGCCAGCTGTGAGTAGGGTTTGCTACATGTGAGCTCTCCTTCAAAGAAAGAAAGAAAATGGGCTCTTCACAGGACTAGTCTTTTTTTTTTTTTTTTTTTTTTTTGGTCACTTGACCCAAGAAAAACTTCTGCTTCTGCTCAAACTACACAAAATCTCTTGTTGAAATATCTCTGTCAGCTCCCTGGCTTCTCCCCTCATATCTGCATCTTAAGAACTTATTCCCAGAGTCATGAGGGACACAGGAAGAACACCTAGCTTTCCCTAAACATTCTCAACACTTCCTCAACTAGATCACATTTCCTCTGAAAGCAACTGAGTCTGCTTACATGTGATTCTGCCGCTAACATGCATTACCTTTGGCATTATCAATTACAAAGAAGTTTGAGCTTATTGCTTTTGACTAACTAAATAATACATTTGGGTGTTTTGTCCTGAGTAATAAAACATTTCCCCCTCCATCTCTAGGAAATAGAAATTTGCTACAGATTGAAAAGGGTGGCAGGTTTATTTTCCTGCTTCTATTCATTAAAGTCTCATGTAATTCCACATCTAGAATATCTTAGAACTACACTTTGAAATGGGCCACAGACTCTATGTATAAGATGTTTATTGCAGTACTGTTTATAGAAGTAGAAGAGTAGGAAAACCTTAGTACTAATAGGCAGAATGGTTACATTACTCATATTACAGTCATAGAGCAGACATGTAGAAGACTTCTTTATTAATATAAACAGACCTCCTTTTTCGGTGACAAAAGTAAGATATAAGACAATAATACATAGAGTATTCTAACAATCACAGTTTTTTATATTTGTCTTTTAGCTATAGTTAGACACAATACCTTTCTTTCTTCCTTCCTTCCTTCCTTCCTTCCTTTCTTTCATTTATTTATTTTTATGTGGTGCTGAGGATTGAACCCAGGGCCTCACACATGCTAGGCAAGCACTCTGCCACTGAGCTATAACCCCAGCCCCTAACAATCACAGTTTTAATTTTAAGTTTAGATATAGGGCTGGAGGTGTATCTCAGTGGTAGAGTGTTCACAATGCCTTGGGTTCAATCCCCAGTACCATATAAAAAAGTTTACATATATATTAATAGTTTTGCTTTAGTGGAAGGTGACTGTGGGACTAGGATTTTGGGGTTGGAGGGAGACTTTTCACTGTTTATCATTGTACGTTTGTCTGAACTATCATTATTTACTATGCGATGGCATAAATGTCAACTAATGATAAAATATTAGAGTCTGCATTTTCCTCTGGACACCCTACTCACAGCTGGCCCCACTGGGCTGCTGTTGGTGCACAGGAGAACACACAGGAAGGCCCTGTGATTTCCATCCCTCCTGCTCCATGCCACACTCACCTCTGCGGATTTCCAGCTGCACAGGGTCACTTGGCACCGAGAGACCTGTCTGGCACCTGTATTCACCACTCTCACTGACCCTCGCTGCAGTGATGCTGTACTTGGAGGTCAAGGTCTGAATGGCTGTGCCGTTGAGAAACCACCATGTGGAGTTGTCTCCAGGCTGTTGCGGCCCCTCACACAATAAGGTGACCTGTTCATCCTGGAACACACTTACCCACGGAGGCTGCAAGGTGATCACTGCCTTTGTGGGGTCTGCTTGGGGATAAAACCAAAGCAAAACAAAAAGTGGAGTGAAAGGAAGGGCTCCGAGTGGTTGGTGAGGTTTTGTGGACAGCACAAGGAAAAGCTGTGTATTTAGATTAGTTTAAAAAATAGGCAAGCAGGAGCCCACAAGAGCCAGACTTTAAAAGTGTCGAGCTCCTGCTGTAGAGAGCTCTGTTTTTATTATTAAATCCTAATTGGGGTGTTAGAGATTTGGGGTTCCTGAGGATGGATTACTGATTTAGATCTTCCTAATTCTCCTAGTGAAGCAAGTTCTAAACCAGTGCAGACTGTCAGGGGTCAGTGTCCTTGTCCTCAGTGTTATACTGTTTCTGAGGGTAAAGCACAGACCTTCATAGGCTTCTGCTTTGGAAATGGAGGCTCAAATGCCTCCCTTTGAAGCCTTCAGTACCTGCCTGGCTCTCTCTGAGGAGAAAAAACTGATTTAGCTTTCTTGTAACAGGGATTGCCCCGAGGGATGTTGAAAACCCAGCCTAGCTGCCTTTGTGTTTTCGCAATTCTGGCCACTTCTGCTCTCATAAGCACATTTAGGCATTTAGGGCCTCAGTCGGGGCTCATTCAGAAAGCCTTAGAAGCCTTGGAAAGAAAACTGACAAATCATTTCACACTCTGCATATACATAGTTTATAAGTCTTTCTTCTGTCTATGCTCTCTCTATTCTCTCTTCTTTAGGTTAATGGAACTCATCCTTTGGAAGAAAGACAATGGCATAAGAGGAGAATCTGAGGTAGCGATCACTTACCCACTTGCCCACCAACTGGAACTGCAAAGGATGGGAGAACAGAGACATCAAGTGATTAGTGGGAGATGATGAGACAGGAAGAATTGGAGAGACAGAGCTAATGTAGACTCTGGGGGGCCAGTTTAGGTCTCTTGACTTAAACTATCCCTCTTTCCAAATATCAAGTACCAGCAGAACTGATGATTATTGATGAAACTTTATTTTGATATGGGGTTTTCAGTCTAATTGTATCTCAGGGTCCCCCTTCCCACCCTTTTGATATAATAAGCACCAATAAAGCATCAAAGCACAGATACAATTATCTTTATACTCATGAGTTCTAACCCAACATATCCAAGGAAGACAAAAAATGTTGATCCAAAGCCAGAATCCATGCCCGTCTAGCCACCCTCTCTGAGCCCAGCTTACCCCAAAGGAGCAGAGCTGTCAAGAGCCACATATCACCTCCAAGCTGGTGAGCAGTAAACCCTGAAACATGCAAGACACCAAACTAGTTTTACTGGGGGATTTGGAGCCAAGATTAGAAAAGAGGAAGGAAATCGCCTTTTCTGACCACTTTCATCATGACCATTTTCTGGGAAGTACATCCCTAATTCTTTACATATATAAATATATATTTTTAGTTTTAGATGGACACGATACCTTTTATTATTATTATTATTATTATTTTGGTGGGGTTCTTTTTTTTTTTTTTTTTTTTTTTTTTTTACTGGGGGTCGAACTCAGGGCTTTGCCACTGAGCTACATCCAAGGCCACAATACCTTTATTTTGTTTTGTTTTTATGAGGTAAGCAAACGTTCAACCACTGAGCCATAAGCCAGCCCTATCCCTAATTCTTGAAGCATGTACTCCCCATTCTCCTGTTCCTTAGCCCATCTCTCTCAGTGTGAAGTTCTGGTTTGGGGTTATGAACTCTTAAATCCAGGGGAAGGGCTAAAGTTTTAATGACATTTTATTTTGATTATTCTTCCTCTGTTTCTTAGGATTAAACTATGAAAAACACCACTTTTATAATTGGTTCAAGGCCTGGCTAATGTTCGATCATTTGAACCCAGAAGATCCTATGTCAACTTTCATGAGGCATATAAAGAGTTGCTCATATTCGAGAGTTCCCTTAATACAAAGCCAGCCTTTGCTCCTCTGGGGAGTAGGAAGGATTAGTGTTCCATTTTAGCAAAAAGATGTAAAATGCCATCCTCCTGATTATGAGCTTAAGATATCATGAGTTTGTACTGTTTATCTTGGCCAAATGCAAAGAAATTAAATGTTTTTTCTAAAATATTTATTTTTTAGTTGTAGTTGGACACAATACCTTTATTTTATTTATTTTTATGTGGTGCTGAGGATCGAACCCAGGGCCTCGCACATGCTAGGCAACTGCTCTACAGCTGAGCCACAACCCCAGCCCAAAATTAAATGTTTAATGTAAATATGGTGGCAAAGACAAATAACTCCCACCTATTCCTTAGGAAATATCCCTAAGAAGGAAGCTTTACAGTAGATTTAGAAAACTCTGTGCCACCAAAGTGAGTTGGTTCCTGAGGTAGGGTTGTAAAGATATAGAGAAGTTTTTAGGCAGTCTGTCAAGAAATAAAGGGAGATAAAAAGAATAAATGCAAGAGGAACTTGGGTAGCAATCTCACTGGCAGGGAATAAAAAAATGATGACAAGTAACATTACAGATTTAATTACAGCCTTGATTTTTTTCACCGCAGTCTACACTGCCTTCATAGCCCCATGAGAGGCTGAGGATACCTCCCTGACTCTTGACTATGGCTCATCTGTGTGATTTTCACTAGACTGGAATGTGGGTGGAAACAACATTGCACTACTAGCTTAGAACCAGAATTTATTTTGTTTTTGTTTTTGTATACAGGATCGAACCCAGGGTACTTTACCACTGAGCTATATCCCCAGACCCTTTTTTTTTAAATTTTGAGACAAAGTCTCATTTAGTTGCTCAAACTTGCAATCCTCCTGTCTCAGTTGCTGGGATCATAGGCATGCACCACTGTGCTGGGCAAGATCTGGAAGTTCTAAGGAAGCTTCACACATTATCTCTCACTCTCTTGTGCTTCTGTGATTGTCATGATGAGAAGATTCTCTGGCTAGCCAGCCATAGTGTGAAGTGAGCTGTTCTAGCCATAGTAGCCTAAAGTAGAGCTGCTTCAGTTACCCTGCAAACATGCAAGTGAAAAATACATGCTTACTGTTGCAGGCCACTGAGATTTTAAGATTATTATAGTTGACACAGGACCACCACCCCAGATTAAAACCCTAAATTTTGATCTCGCTAAAGCTTTTTTGTTGTTGGTTTTAAACTCCCTATCTGGAAGGCCCCACTACCCTACCATTAGTCAACCCCAAGAAGCTGTTTTAAACCCAAGCAACTTTTCGTTTTATGGAACAAATACAGGGCAAATTCAGATTAACAAACACATAAACCATCCCATTATGGGAATAAGAAATTAAAATTGTACATCTTTAATTGAATCAGAGAAAGAGATCAAGGAGGACTCTCCAATGACAGGTTAGTCCTTCATCAAAACAACATAAAAATCCCTAAAGAGCCACTGACAGTGTCCCTCCATGTGGTGGGAGCTTTCCTTGCTTGCTTCTAGTAAATCTGCTACTGAATTCTTACCCTCCATTGTCTGAATACTTCATTCTTCAGGTGCATGAGACAAGAACCTTCCAATGCTCATGTGACCCTGTGTCACACAGTGATAGCTGACTGACAGAAGTGGAAAACAAGGAAGACCTGAGAGGAACTCAAGATGTTCTGAGAGAGATGAGAGAAGCCTCAGACCAATGAGATTTACCTTCAAAGACGTTCATAACTCTTATACTATTTTGTCTCCAAAGTTAGCTACTATACAGATGTACCATAATTTCTTTCATCAACCTTTCTTCATGGACACAGAGTATATTTCTAACTTTTTGTTATGATCCGCTTTGCAATATCTTTAAACATTTGACTTATTATTTCCTTAGGACACATATCTAAAATCAACACTGCTCAAAGAAAGTTTAAATTTTTTCTTTTGGATAAAAGATTATTGTCATCTTTTATGTCAGATTATCATCATCGTTGCAATCTCATTGGCAGGGAATAAAATAATGATGACAAGTAGCATTATAGATTTAATTAGAGCCTTGATTTTTTTACCCTCAGTCTACCAATATTTGTACTGTATGTCAGATAGTTATGCTATGATTATGTATAAAGACATGAATGGTGTGAATATACTTTGTATACAACCAGAGATCTGAAAATATGTGCTCTGTATGTGTAATATGAATTATAATGCATTCTTCTGTAAATTAGAATGAAAAATAAAAAATAGGGATTTCTATTTTGCTAAATCCAATATTGTAATATTGTCAATACTTAATATTGTAATGAGACTTTTAGTCCCTCTCCCCAAATCTATAGTTTATAAAACAGACCCACAGTACTCTTAATTTTAATTTCCCTGTTTATTAATAAAGTTGAACAATTTATCCTATATTTATTCACTAGCTATGTAGTTTTTTTAAATGAAATACGTCTTTAGCTTTTATTTTACTCACTTTGTGCACTTTTGCCTTTTTCATACTGATTTGTAGCAGTTTAAAATTTTAGTCTATATACAAACCCTTGTGGATTATTTGTACTGAAATTATTTCTTCCTGATTTTCTTATGTTATCTTTTCCCGTACAAAAGTTCTTAGTTTTGATGTAGTCACATTTATCAATATTTTATTTTATGGATAGTATTTTGTCTTGCTTAAAAAGTCTATTTAAATGTATTTTCTTCTAAAAGTTTCAAATTTTTTATTTTAAACTTTAGTCTCCAATCTGTCTGTAAATTATATCTATATATGGTGGTAAGGTAGGTATCCAATTTCTTTTATTATACATATGTATTATATACACATATACACACCACACACACACACACACACTACATATACATACATACACACATAACCAGTTGTCTCAGCATCATTTAAAGTACGTAATTGGAAATTCTGATAAAAACTATCATAATATATATAATTGTATTTATCATGTATAATTATGTGTTTATATATACACATACTGTGTGTGTGTGTATGTATGTATATATATATATATATATATATATATATATATATATATATATATATATATATAGTGTGTGTGTGTGTGTGTGTGTGTGTAATTCTGACTGGAGTCTATGCAATTTCACAGGCAATTTGCTTTCCCTGTCCCCATACCACATCATCTTAATACTACAGATTTATAACATATCTTCAGGTATGGTCATGTATGTATCCCTAACTTACTCATCTTCAGGATGTCATGGTTATTCGTGGATTTTTGCTCATTAACATACCTATCTGTATCAACTCATCAAATTTATTAATATTTGTTGGGACTTAGATCAGAATTATATTGAATATGTAAATTAATTTGGAGAGGGTTTGTATCTTTATGTCATTGAGTCTTACAAACTATGAACCCGGTATATGTTCAATTATTTTGCTTTCCTTAATAACTTTGCATATTTTTATTCATATATGTCTCACAGAGATCTTGGAGGCTATCTTCCTAAAAGTGTGTATGTGTATAAAGGCATATTGGGGGGTTTATTTCCATACCACCAAAATGAAGCAAATATTATAATAAAGTGAGACACATGGATTTTTTTGGTTTCTCAGTGCTTATGAAATTTATGTTCACACTATGCTATAGTCTATTAAATATGCAATAGCATTATGACTGAAAATTATGGCTGAAAAGCCATCATTAATTTTAAAATACTGTATTGCTAAAACATGCTAATGATCATCTGAACCTTCAGTGAATCACAATTTCTTTGCTGGTGGAAGGTCTTGTTTCACTGTTTAGGTTTGCTCACAATCAGGGTGGTAGTTGCTGAGGACCGAAATGACCACTGCAATTTCTTAAAATAAGACCATTTTGCTGCATTGACTGGCTCTTCCTTTCACAAAGATTTCTCTGTAGCAGGTGATGCTGTTTGATAGAACTCTCAAAACTGAAGTCAGCTCTGTTTTTGCTTTATTCACTAAGTTTATATAATATTCTAACTCTTTTAGTGCCACTTGAACAATGTTCACAGCATTTTCACCAGGAGTGAATTGTATCTCTTTGCTTATCCATAAGATAAGCACTTATCTTCACCGATTAAAGACTTAATTGAGATTGCAGCAATTTAGTCATCAGGATCTATTTCTAATTCTAGTTCTTTTGTTATTCCCAATACATCTTCAATTACTTCCTCCAGTGATGTCTTAAATCTCTCAAAATCATCCAAAGGGCTAGAATCACCTCCTTCTAAACTTCTGTTAATGTTGATATTTTGACCTCTTCCCATGAATCAAACTTATTCTTTTTGGGGGTGGGGGGGATGAACACTTTTTGAATACGACAAGTACCAGTGCTTCATATATTTTTCCTTTACTCTTCATAGTCACCCAATTCTCCCTAACTCCACAGTGTAGCACCTCTTTTCTCTAAA